GAGGGGGGTATACATGACTGTCCCCCTCTTGCTCTCACAGATTCATTGGACAAATACTCTTGCGGCTCATCCACGTCCGCTTTTTCTTTCATTTTTCATACCCCTCCCTTCCCTCCTCCCCCCTTTCCCCACTCGCATACACATAAACGGTTTTTCATTCATTCTTGTTCGTTCCATGTACCTATTTTATGTAATAATTCTTGTTACTTCGTTCACTCTTGATAAATTAATAGTATCAGATTCGTCGTATGAGAGAACTGTCCGTTTTATCGACCTTGATGCACAGCTTCACCCTTGACGATCAACTAAATAATAAAATTGCTAAAATATAAATAATAACACACCAAATCAGGTTCATCGCGAGCAACATTGCTTATTTTTAGAAGCTGATTCCGAATATGAAATCAGTTTTTGTAAAATGTATCGTTACGTGTAACTGGGCCTTTACACACGGCGCCTTTCGAGCCCTGGGTTGTCGAGTCGTTGTTTCTCTGTGCTCACACAGCAGTCTCGTCTGGTCTAACTCAGTAAATTTGTAATGAGATGATAAGTGCTATCTAATCTGTGGTTAGCTGTGTGATTCTCGGGAAAGTAGTCGAGTACGGTAGGCTACCTATTTGACATTGAAGAAAACAAGGACAGGCCGAGGCGTGAGCCACGGACTTTTCAAGACTGCGTGAGTAGCGGTCGAGGCGCAGAGCAGAGAGTTGCGACCAGTCAGTGCAAGTTGGATCGCTACATGAGGTGGGTGTGCATAGTTCATCCACATGCGTGTAGGCCTATAGTTAAACTACAAAATCCTATATTCTACTCGTTAGTCTATCAACGTTGTTTTCACTACTCACTGTTTCGACCGGGGAACGAGGTGTGTGGGTCGTACAGGTCCGGAGCTCCATCCACTGCGTCCACCCACCAGTGGCGTCGATCCCTGAGTCCACCCACCAGTAGCGTCGATCCCTGCTAAGCCGAGATTTAAGTCGTGGCTCGGAAGGCCAGTTTAACCTTCGCCGTCTGTTTATGTACCCCCCGTGCTCCCTTATTCTCCTACACTCACGAGGCTACACTGAGTTTGTTCACTTATTTCACGTGCTCGTGGCTTGTCTGGTTATCAGCCATCACAGTCCCCTCTCTGTCCGCCGACACCCAGATTAGTTTTTGTTATGTATTGTTTTGTTTTTGGATTGTTCTGTTTTTGGTTTTGTTTGGTTTGGTTTTGGTTTTGGTTTTGGTCTGTTTTGCTAGGAAAATGTTTTCATAATAAACCCTTTCAGGTCGCATTAATAAACAGTGAAAGAGTAAAACGTTTCGTGTGATTGTTTGTTTTGTTGGTAATGACTTGTTATTCTGCCTTCCCCCTTCTTCTCCCCCCTTCAACTTCCCCCTCCCCTTTTCCCTCTCCATGTTCCCTCTTCCCACCCCCTCCCTTCCCCCATCCCTCTCCCC